TGTTTCATTAACGCTGGAGCAGCTTTTGGTGGCTGCAAGACAATCTGAGGCCTGGAGACTGAGTAAGCAGTACCTCTTGCGTCACGTCCCTGCTCCGTCAGGTTTTCTGTCAGTGTCCTAACTCACCTTGACAGCAGTTTACGTTTGCCTTCAGTCTTTGTCCCTCTTGCTGGTGCATTTGAGACAAAACCAATAAGAAAGCAGGAGCCAGGAGCTGTCTCTAATCTAAGCATCCCACGTAAGTTAAGCCTTTAAAGACAGAAATCAGAATGAAGTTGTCCACTATGGTCCATCGTGAAAGAGGTCATTTGACACTCTTCTCACAAATGGAGCAGAATAAAAAATGGAAGGAGTAGAATGATATGCAGGAATGTTGATATGCAAAAATTACTGGGCAGGAGGGTAGGTCCTTGATTTCTTCCTTCTGGTAGAAGTTCAGGTATACTCCCAGCCTGGTGAAGTAGGCAGTCAATCTCATTTATTGTTAAATTTTGTAGTGGTTGTCAAGTAAGGGGTTGGCAGCCCCGAAGAGCAAATTTTGTTTCATCCATGGACAGGGGACAATGTAATTTGACCCTTACTGCTAAGGAAGAACTAGTTCTTGCAATTCATCTTACTATCTTCTTTTTTTTTCCTCCCTTGTGGGTCCTTTCTTTTAATGGTTTCAAAAGTCTCTTCAAAAGGGCAGCAAAATTAGCCTTAAATAGTATTTCTTGGATTGCTTTTAACAATGGCAGTAAGGCCAAAGCTTCTAGTCTTGACAGAAGTGGTTTCTTTAGAATTTGTTTTGATCTCGCCAGAATAAGCAAGAAACTTTCAAATGTGTTTTCATTATGGCTAAAGAACATGTTTTAGTTGATAACTCCTAAAAGGAGAGAACAGTCTGCAGATTTGTTTATTATGTCTCTCTTTAGCTTTCTGCTCCTAAGGCAAAAAGTAGGTTTTGTTTGTTTGTGTTTTATAGAGGACTTCTGCTTCAATTAGCACAGTTAACATACCAACAAGCATTTGTATTGCTGTAAATTTTACATTTCATTGCAAGGAATTGGACTTTTTAAAATGATCTTTTACTGAGAGCTGTACTGGAAATGAAAATCTTTATATTAAAAATGAACCTTGGAAACAGAAAGCTTAAAAAAAAAAAAAAGCAAAATGCAAATTATTTTCCAAGTCTTCTACCTTTCCAGGTGACATTACCTTAGCTTTGATCTGCAGACATGACATCATCTACAGGGTGTGCCCAGTGCCAAACTACTGCATTCTTTTGACCAGAACGGTGGTTTTGTGCAGCCTCACAGTTACCGGCTAAATAGCTTTGGAGCTGGCCTGCGTCTTCACAAACAGGTCAGAGCAGATTTGAGTTACACAACTCCTGCAGATGGAGCCTCTTCCCCCGTGACCGGCTGGAGAGTTTACATTTATCAATTACTTCCTTCAGAGCCTGGCTCAAGATTCATTTCCTCCAAGACTCCCTCTCTGGCAAACTCACCTCACTCAGCCCTTCCCTTCCACCACATCTGCTTATTACTCATCTAATACTCTTTGTTCTGCTTTGCCACGTACCCTTACGTTTCACCTCGTGATCGTTCTCTAAATTTTTACTTTATCCTTCAGCTAAATTAAACTTGCCTTGAAAGTAAGGCCTGTCAGCTACTGCTTTTGTGTACTCCTGTAGCCCTAAGTACAGTGCGACTCATACAATGGTTTACTAATAAAAGAGGAATGTTTTGTGGTTGTTGGGTTGGGATTCTGCCTTTGCCTTCTGTTTTCGAAAACCACTCACGGCTTCAACATCCCAGGATTTCCCCAGTCTGCTCTGGTGATAGCATGTCACCCTGGCCTATTCCTCTCTGCTCTAACCCCGGAAATCTGTCACAAGTTTCTCTCCTAATATCTCATGGACTTGGTTTTTCAAAGACTGGATTGTCCACAGTCGAGAAGGAGGGGTGAGAAGGCAGGGAAGCGTGATGTTCACGCGCAGAATGGTATTAGGTGGACAGCAGAGGATCCGAGAAGGCGTGGGCGCAAACCTGGAAGAGCTGTGGGGAACAGTCGGGGGAGGAGTGGCTGGGATAGGACAGCACGGAGCTTAAACTC